ATTCTCCAAGTTAGAAAAAAAGGAAATTATCCCATTTAGTATCACTTGAATACCGTTAGTTATTCAGTTCAACAGAGAATTCAGTCAGTTATTCAGCAGAGCTCTGGCTTCTGAGACTCTGAATACATCAGGCAGAGAAATTCATTTCATAGTTTTTCAACTGTGAACTTGTAGGAGTGTGGAGTTAGATAACATCTAGTTGCCCAGAGATTTAGAGATGAGCCAGCCTGACTTGAGAAATGATATTATTTGTAAAAACTGGACATTTGTCATTGCTGCAGTTACTAGGTTAGATTTTGGAGGATTTTGGATAGTTTACTAGGTTAGATTAAGCAGGATTTTGGAGTCATTAGAGGGACTTGTGTTCACCTCTGCCTCCTTGACCTGTGTCATTCTGGTTGTGGCCTTTAACCAACAATCTGCACACTGGTTGTCTCGCTTCTTGCCAGGTTGTTGACAGAGCGGAGTGGGAAATATGGGCTCAGGCCCAGCTTGGGGTCCAGTGATGTGGGTTCCATTCCCTTTCCTCTTAAGAGTGTGCACCAGAGTCGGGGTCAGTGATACTAAACTGCTGTAGGCTTGAGACAGGTAGAGCTGGAAGGGGCTTATAGGGGTAGAGTCTGGACTGGGAGTGGAGTGGGCACAGCAGAATTTTGGGCTGGGAGGACAGCTGAAGGAGAAGACAGACGAAAGGCTTTCTCTATCCCTTCATGGGAATGGGACATCGTGCAGTTTCTCCTTGGACATAGCTGGCTTGAAGTGCTCCTTAAACTCTAGGTGGCACATATTTTTGGTATTATAACTTGGAATAATGCTAGCCTGAGCTCCCATGTGGCCGATTCGTGTCCTGCTTAGGGTCCTCTTTCCTCTTGAATTGCTCAGGAATCTCTGGGGGCTTTATGGTTCCCCAAGCTGGGTCATTACAGCATTCATAGGGGTGTGAAGTGCTCTGGTCTTAAGGAACTCCTGCAGTGGCTCCTGGAGGCCACAGGGGGTCACTGTTGGCAGCCATCAGGCATTGCTAGCAGGGTTCAGGACCACAGGAGTGGTTGGATGCCGACCTCAGAAGCCTCAGATAAGGGTTGAGAGAGCCCTATCTCTAGGCCCAAGTTTAGCTGTGGTCGAACTTTGCTTACCTCATCTTGAGTGCCAAGCCCATTCTTCCACCAAGGGACCATGGCTCCAGCAGGCCGAGTCACAAAAGGCCTGTGTGATTCCCTTCAGCACCTCGGCTGCCTGTTTTCCCTCCCCAGGGGTCTGAGGCTTTTCCTACTGCTGCCTGTTTTCCCCCCCCAGGGGTCTGAGGCTTTTCCTACTCGTACTTGTTTTTTCCATTCTCTGACAGGAGCCTGTGACTCCACACATACCCTCCGCTCTCACATCACTTCCCCACCTCCACCCAGGGACGGACTCTTTCTAAAGGCGCCATTTCAGCCTCTTTATCTCACAGCAAACACGACAATAACAGACAATATTTAATAAACCTAGCCCATGCCAGGGCTTTTCAAGCCTGCTATGTACTGTCCCATGTACGTCTCAGAGCAACTCAGTCAGGCCCCCACTTTATAGGCAAGGAAAGAAGGTGTAGATAAGGTAATTCAGGTTGCCCAAGATCACACGGAGCCAGAATTTAAATACATTCACATTCACATACAATTCAAATCTTTACTGATGCCTTTCCCCATATTATAGGATTATTCATTAATTTTCAGGGACATTGTTCTATTCACACAAGGGATTACTACAAATTAATGTTGCTTTGAAGCATGGAGTTTTTCTGCAGGATGTAACTGGATCATCTGAATTCTGTAGGACACTGAGCTTTTTCGGTCTGGGCAGGGGAGTAGGGTGGGCCTGAGATCTCTGAGCTGACCCGGTTGGTCTGAGTTGGTGAACACGGCTGCACAGAGGCAGGCTTGTAGCTTGGTGGGAGTGTGGTGGAGCTACAGTGCAGAATGATGTGTGGGGGGATGTGTGTGTGTGTTTGTGTGTGCTGGGGAAGGAGCCCACTGAGCTGAGAAAGTAAGGAAAGTAGGCAGGGCACTTCTCAGGGTCTTACCTGGCAGGCCAAGGTGTTTGTATTTTATTCTGTGTGCAGTGGGAGCCACTGAAGGCTTTTGAGGAAGAAAGTGGTAAGATTAGAGCTGGGCTTTAGGAGAATGGGTTTAGTCTTTGTGTGACAAATGGCTCAGGGCCCCACCTGTCTGAATTCCAAAAACCCGGCTCCCTAGTCTGCATATAATTTCCTTCTGCAACCTGCCTGCCTGTCTGTCACTGAATGTCACTGTCTCTCAGGGGCTGTAATCTTCCAAAAGTCATGGTCCTTGTAGGGCACGAGCTTCTAGTTTTTAGTTTGCAGTCAAATGTCTGCAAAGCCCATCCCGGGGCCCCCTGACCTTGTTGGAGCCTTTCGTCACAATACAAGGCAGGTATCATGGTGTTCTTAGGGTCTGGAACTCACAGACCTCCCTTTTGAGTTTCAGAAGCCACAACATATGGATGTCTTCTCAGGGCCACTTGGCAGACACAAGACCCTTCCTTGAAGAACACAAAAAAATGGAAGGCCAGAGGGAGGGGTGTCTTGGAGTCTTGTAACATAAGGAGTGACAAACCACTGAAACCTCAGTTTTCTCTCTGGAACGGCCTCCTCCCTTTTCTTTCTCTGGAAAACTCTTATTGATCTTCCCACACCCAGTCAAATTATTTCCTATGATGTCTGCTGGCTCCCTAGTAGCATGCGAGGCTGCTGCTGCCCCTAAACTCTGACAGTACTTCATTGGTCTCTTTTTTAAATGCTGCTCACTACTTTCCTCATTATGCTAGAGATATTTGTTGGTCTTATTTTCCCAGCTTGCCTCTGAGTGCCTTGAAAGAAGGATTTCCTTCACTATTATCTCTGTATCCAACTCAGGGCCTAGTGCAGCGCTAAATACTTAATTGTGTTCCATCAGTCATACAAAAATATGTATCACCTGCCGACCGTGTTACTAGAATACAGCAATGAATAGACCAAAGCAGACTCTCCACCTGCCCTCGTGGAGTTCACAGCCTAGTGGATATTCTGCATGGGACACCCATGGGGCCACTTCCATAAATACCTTCTGAGGGACAGACTTCATGCTGCCTTCCTCAGATCTGGGAGATGTTCTGTTCCCAGAAAGCGTTCTTTGACAACTTGTGAAGTAGAAATGCTTTCTTTCAGGAACAGGGCAACTGACCTTTATCCTGTGAATACTAACAGCGCAGTTCTTGGTAGGTGCCTGCTATGCATGTGTTGAGTGGCATTGGAGTATAAACAGACTAAGATTTTACTCTGAGAAGAGAAGGTGACCCACTGGGGCTGGGGCATTAGCCTGGTACAATTAGAAGAACAAAGCCAGCAAGAGGTTTTTGCAAAATAGTTGGATTTTAGAGGCAGATAGGGGCCTGCCAAGATGCAATGAGACTACAAAGTAATTGGTTTTAATTCCAGAATTTGCCTGTAATGGGTTTTGTTCCCTGTCCCACATTTTCCTGGTCCCAGACCTCCCTTTGAGATTTAGAAGCACAGATGTCTTTTCAAGGCCACTTGGCTGAGACAGGACCCTTCCTTGAGGAGCACAAAAAGATGGAAGAGGTCGTGCATGGTGGTTCACTCTTATAACCCCAGTACTTTGGGGAGGCCGAGGTGGGAACAAGAGTTCAAGACTAGGCTGGGTAATATAGTGAAGCCCTGTCTCTACAAAAAATTTAAAAAATTAGATGGGCATAGTGGCGCACACCTGTAGTCTCAGCTACTCAGGAGGCTGAGGTGGGAGGATTGCTTGAGCCTAGGAGGTCGAGGTTGCAGTGAGCTGTGATCGCACCACTGCACTCCAGCCTGGGTAACAGAATGAGACTTTATCTCAAGAAAATGAATATATATACTTATATTAATACATGTATATGTGAATACAGAGGGCTAGAGAGCTGGGTGTCTTGGAGTCTTGTAAGCTGTTGGAGTTATCAAAAGATCCTCTTCCCCCTCCCCACCCATACACTCACCTACCAGCTGTCAAGGTCATGGGAAACCAAGAAAGGGCTCCAGAACTGGGACACTAGTGTTTCCAACAACTCATCTTGCAGTAGGAGGAAGGATGGTTCCTGGCCTGGTCCGCTTACCCAGTTGGGCAAATTGCTGTCCTTCCTTGGGCCTCAGTTTCCACATGAATAACATGAGGAGGTTGGGCCAGATGGTCTTTCAATGCTTCTTTGTTTTTTAGTAGGAAAGAGCTCTGGTGTCAGATTCACAGGGTTTTAAATCGAAGGTAGCTGCTTGAGTGATGGGGCCATGGAGGGGGGAAAGAACTGTGTGGGTTTTAGAGCCAGGCACACCTGGGTTTCTGTCCAGGTTCTGCTCCTTATTAGCTGATTTACTTTGGGCAAGTTACTTAACCTCTCAGAGGCTGGTTTCCTCACCCATAAAGCAGAAATAGTGATGTGCCCTCCCTGGGTGGTTGGGGGAAGTCCCTTAGATAATGCAGGGAAGGCACCAAACCCAGGGCTTGGCACTGTCAATGAGGGTGACGGTGGTGGTGTCTGGAGATGCTGGCCACCTTGACAGGTGAGCTGAGTGGGCAGAGGATTTGAGGAGCTGCTCTGAGCAGGACACTCCCAGGAAGAAATACACAGGGAGATGGAAATTTCCACTCCAAGGTGGCTTGGCCATTCTAGAATGGCGTCACAGGAACAACTAGACAACCCTAAACTGTCAGAGTATCTTTACCTCTGTAGGGACAGGCTTGCTCTAGGGCTGCTGCTAGGGCTGGGCGGGGCCTGCCTGTGATTCTGGGTTCTGAGCTTCCTTGCAGCCAGGTGAATCCTCAGGTACTTGGACTATTAGGTTGGTGCAAAAGTCACCGCGATTTTTTGCCACTACATTGCAATTACTTTTGCACCAACCGAATACATCCTGTCCCAGCTGGCCTAGTGCACTGCCTGGGCTGCGGATCTGGGCTAACGCGCTGTCTTCCTGTTTCCAGTGCGCCGGTCAAAGGCGGCTGATGAGGAGAGGAGCCGCCGAGCCCAGCGCGCCCGAGACGAGTACCGACGCCACTCGCTCCGTGCTATCCAGAAGGGCACGGTCGCCGGCCTCAGCTCCATGTTCCGGGAGCTCGGCCAGAGCCATGAGCAGGAGGCAAGACTCTACCACCACCTCCCCGGGCCGGGTCCGCCGCAGCCCCTCGCCCTGCCGGTCAGGTGGGTCGAGGCTCCGCGTTGGCGTGGTTGGGGCAAGGGCCTTGGATTAGGGCATGGGGCACCGGGGTCCCAGTCCCGGTTCTGCCCCAGATTTGCTGTGTAGTTTGGGGCTAGCATTTCCCCTCTGGACCTCAGCCCTAGTCTGGGGTAGGAGAGGGAGGAGAGGTGTGGGAGTTGGAGATTTGTAGTAACTTTGGAGTTCTGAGAGCTTTGACCTTTTTTTTTTTTTTTTTTTGAGACGGACTCTTGCTCTGTCGCCCAGGCTGGAGTGCAATGTTGCAATCTCGGCTCACTGCAACCTCTGCCTCCCAGGTTCACGCCATTCTCCTGCCTCAGCCTACAGAGTAGCTGGGACTACAGGTGCCCGCCACCACGCCCGGCTAATTTTTTTGTATTTTTTAGTGGAGACGGGGTTTCACCGTGTTAACCGGGATGGTCTCGATCTCCTGACCTCGTGATCCGGTCGCCTCGGCCTCCCAAAGTACTGGGATTACAGGCCTGAGCCATCGCACCCCTAGGAGCTTTGACCTTTTTAACGTCAAGGATTCCTTTGAGAATCTGAAGAAAGCTGTGTACCTTCTTCCCCCTCAAATTTGCAGATATAAAGACCTAGAATGTTTGCATACAGTTTGAGACTCTAAGGGCCCCAGGCTAAGAACTTGTAATGAGCCCTCAGATGGGTGAAGCATGGCCGGGCAGCCTGGACACAGGGCTTGATGACTCTGAGTCCCAGGCAAGCCGGTTTTTCTCTAAGTGGAATAGTAGGTTTGCAGTTTAGCATGGTTGGATGCAGGCGGGTCCTCACACACATTTGTGTCCCCTAAGGGTTTGCAAGGGCACTTAGATGACTGTCCGAAATTGCCAGGACCAAAGGTTAAGAGGTTGCAGGGAGCCTCTCTTCCCTCTACCCGCCCCCACCTTAGGCCAGCCCCAAGGTTTGGCCTCTCTCCTCTTGGGTGCTCTGGTCCCCAGATCATTGCTGAACAACCACTGTCCCCAGGAGGGCCAGAGGCTGGGTGGTGAGCACCTGCCGGCTCCCTTAACCTCAGTAATCTGCAGAAGAGTCCAGTCACCCCCAGATAATGAAGGGGTGTCTGAGTTTTGCTTTAATTGGGGTTTGGGGTTACTCATAACTTTATTTTCCCTCTGCCTACAGTGTAGGGACAGTTGATGATGTCTTCATTTCTTCCCTCCCACCTTCTCACCGTTTCCTTTCTTGTCAAGTATAAGATTCCCAAACCAGAAGGTTTAAAAAGGTGTACTGAGAAATGGCTGCCTCCCTCTCCCCCTCCGTCTACTCTGTTCCCCCGTCTTCCAGAGGTCACTACTGTTCTTAGTTTTTTATGTATCCGCTCACTTTATTTTTGCAGTTACCATCATGAAAGGCCTTATTCCTCCTTTTTTTTTTTTTGGGAGAAAAATTGGCATTTTATGCATGGAGTTCTATACTTTGATTGCTTTCCCTCATTTAACTAGTTTTTAGGAAGGCTTTTCGTATCAATTCTTACATTATCTATTTAGGGTTTTTTTTTGTTTTTTTTTGTTTTTTTTTTTACAGGTGCATAGTATTCTACTGCACAGTGTGTTATAAATTATCTTTTTATTGTGTTGTCTTTTCCTTATTGATATCTAATAACTTCTTACGTAAGATTAGGGAAGAGGATTCTTTTGTCTGTGATAAACATATTTTCTCAGTTTGGCACTTATTTTTTGATTTTCATGATGAAATTTTTTGTCGTGCAGGAATTCTTGATTGTTACAAGGTCAAATTTTCTTGTATATTTTCTTTTTTTTTGAGACAGAGTCTCACTCTGTCTCCCAGACTGGAGTGCAATGGCGCCATCTTGGGTCACTGCAACCTCTGCCTCCCAGGTTCAAGCGATTCTCCTGCCTCAGCCTCCTGAGTAGCTGGGATTACAGGCACGCACCACCATGCCCGGCTAATTTTTGTATTTTTAGTAGAGACAGGGTTTCACCATATTGGTCAGGCTGGTCTCAAACTCCTGACCTCAGGTGACCCACCTGCCTTGGCCTCCCAAAGTGCTGGGATTACAGGTGTGAGCCACTGCTCCTGGCCTCTTTTATATTTTCTAAATTTGAGGGCATAGTTAGAAAAGCCTTCTCCCCATCTATGCTTTTTAAAACAAACCTAGAAATTTTCCCTCAGGCCCATTTGATGGAGCCACATGGACCATGGTGCAGCCTGGCTCTGGGCTGGCTGTGTGCAGCCAGTAGGGGAGCAGTGGCCTCACTCCCGAGTGAGCCTCAAAGGGGACAAGCAGCTGTGCACACAGGGCAGCAGGCCCAGGCAGTGAGAAGGTCCTCCTACCAGCCTCTCTCCTGTGGCGGCCCCATGGGATGGGTCCCTATGGCCTCACTGCTCTCACCTCTCTGGTGCCTGCCAGCACACCTCGTCTGTCTGTGCTGAGGGCAGATGCGTGCCGCTGATGGGAGGACAGGTTCAGATTCAGGAGTGAGGCTTTGGGCCAAGTGGCCTCCTAGAATACATATCTAGTATTTATATGCTTTTTTTGTTTTGAGTTTTGAGTATTTATTATCCTTATTTTAATAAAATTTATTTAATTGTATATTTATTAGATTTAAATTTTTTTAAACAAAATTTGAGACCGAGTCTTGCTCTGTCACCCAGGCTGGAGTGCAGTGGCGGTCCGATCCCAGCTCACTGCAATCTCTGCCTCCCAGGTTCAAGTGATTCTCCTGCGTCAGCCTCCCAAGTAGCTGGGATTGCAGGTGCGCACCATCACACCTGGCTAATTTTTTGTATTTTTAGTAGAGACAGGGTTTGACCATGTTGACCAGGCTGGTCTCGAACTCCTGACCTCAGGTGATCTGCCCACCTCAGCCTTCCAAAGTGCTGGGATTACAGGCATGAGTCACTGTGCCTGGCCTATTACATTTAACTTTTAATGATGGCTATGTTTAACTGGCTTAGAAAATTCCTGAAAATTTAACAGTCAGCTCTTGTGGACCAATACACAAGCTGTTCACATATCTTTTTACCCAGGCCCTACTCTTTACTGCTGGTATGACTTTGGCTAGTAATTTCACTGCTAGAATCTATGCTAAGGAAATTATCTGCAAATTGGAAAAAGTGCAAAGATGATTATCATAGCATTATTAATAATGGCAAAAAGTCAGAAGCAATGTATTGTTTAAAGTGAATTTGGGTTAAGTCAATTCATTGGAATGTTTTGTGGAACTAAAAGTGACTTCTTTGAAGGCTTTATAACAGGGGAAACGCCATAGATTAGCTGAAAAAGAAAAAAGAAGAAGTGCAAACTATCTAATTTATATAGAATGATCAAAATTTTAAGGTATATAAATGTAGCATTTATGTTCTGGGGGAGTCAGATTCCCTGCTTAGAAACGAATTCAAATCGACTGCTTAGAAACAGAGGGACAAGAGTGTGTGAATTTATTTTTTGCTGTTATATATAACTTCCTATTGCCTTCTAAGGAAAGCGAGTCCTAGAAACTGGAGGAGTTTTTCCCCACCAAGCACAGCTGTTTTTTGGGGGATGCAAATGTGGAGGAAGAGGCTGGGTGAAGCAGGCTGCCCTGCACTGCTTAATGAAGAAGAAAGACATTTGAACTTACTGAGAAGGAAGAGTGTGAGGACTGGGAACATAGGCCGGCTGGCTGTAGGGCTGTAGAGGGTAAAGGAAAGTCCAGAGTGGCAGTGAGTGGGAAGACAGGGTGTGGAGGCCAACTCTACCGATGACGGCTGTAAGCTGCGATGTAACCTCACCCTCTGTCCTTCTGACATCTTTTCTCAAATCTACAGTGTCTGCTACTGTGTGTGTGCATGCGTGTGCATGTGTGAGTGTATTCAGTTTAGGGCGAGTAAAGAAATGCCCTGTGGATTTATTCTGGGCTTGTAAGGAGGTACGCTGAGCACAGTGTCAAAGTGTGGGTACAGGGCAAATACGGAGATCACATGAGAGGACAGCTGACATTGATTTTATAAAAAACAAGGATAACCGTGAATTCTAAATGCCAGTACTATTAGGTGGATAACAACAACAAAATAAGAATTTACCAGGCCCCTGTCACTCAGTTGGAAATGGCGAAGAGGCTGTGGTTGTTCAAGGTGGGCTGTTGCCTTGTTCCTCAGATGCTATATTATTATTATTATTATTATTATTATTATTTTGAGACAGAGTCTCACTCTGTTGCCCAGGCTGGAGTGCAGTGGCACGATCTCAGCTCACTGCCTCCTGGGTTCAAGCGATTCCCCTGCCTCAGCCTCTTGAGTAGCTGGGATTACAGGTGTCTCCCACCACGCCTGGCTAATTTTTGTATTTTTAGTAGAGATGGGGTTTCACCGCCACTCCTGCGCTTTTGTAAGGCAGCACCAGGACAGTGAACAGAGAGAGAAACCGGAGAACCTCAATTTGCTCTGGAAATGGCTGAGATTCCCTGCCCAGCAAATAAAAAGTATGACACAGGAAACAGAGGCGGAAGGAAACAAAACAGCACATTGGTAACTACGGATGGAATGGGTAAGGGACTGAGGGCATGGAGGGCAGGAGGAGGAGGGGCACGGGAAGAATTTAGACGAGGGAGTAGACCAGGCCAGACTGGTCTCGACCTCTCAAAGTGCTGGGGTTACGGGTGTGAGCCACCGCGCCTGGCCCAGATGCTGTACTTTTGTGCCATGATTTCATGCACCGTGGTGTTACTGCATTGTACTTCACCACATAGTTGTGGGTGCCTGTCACGTGTCGTGTGCTGCCAGCTCTTACTATGCTTTCAGTGTAGCCCGAGTGCAGTGGGGTCTCACTTCGCCACAGTCTGTGTACGCATCTGGGAACCGCAGTTCAGACACGAAAACAGTGACGATCTTGGCTCACCTGTGAGAACTTTAAAACGTATCTACTCCGTCGTCTGAACTCTTCCCGTGCCCCTCTTCCTGCCCTCCATGCCTTCAGTCCCTCATCCATTCCATCCGTAGTAACCAATGTGCAGTTTTGTTTCCTTCTGCCTCCGTTTCCTCTGTCATATACTTTTTATTTTCTGGGCAGGGAATCTCAGCCATTTCCAGAGCAAATTGAGGTTCTCCGGTTTCTCTCTCTGTTCACTGTCCTGGTTCTGCCTTACAAAAGCACAGGAGTTGTGGCAAAGGCAGGCATCCCCTCAGAGGGCGGGGAGGGAGAGGTAAGGAGGGGATAAGACCCAGAATTCTTTCTGAGGGAGAGAAGGGGATGGGACACACTCAGTTACTTTCCATCAGGAGCCTCCTTCATCCATGCTGGTATTTATGCCCTGGCCATGCTCGAGGGAAAATGTGCCTTTTCTTTCCCTCAGACACCCCCTCCTAGCCTCTTTTCATTCCCAACTGTGTGGCTGTTTTTTGAAGCAATCGGTAACAGTTTTCTTTTAAATAAACAATAACAGGTGGTACATTATAATCTGCAAAATGCCTTCAAGTACTTGGGCTGTTTTAATCCTCTTTGTAGGCATGGATGTGGGCACCGTGCTTATTCATTCTCTTATGGCTCTCTCCTGCCCCTTCTTCCACCCCCCTTCCTCCTCCTCCTTTTACCTTCCTCTCCCCTTCCTCTTTACTTCCTTCCCCTCTTCTTTCCTCTCCCTCTGCCCTTTCTCCCTCCTTAATCTTCTGCCCTCCCCACTTTCTCTCTCTTCAGCAGGACCTGGGAGCGCCCGCTGCGCCCAGTCTCCAGAGATGTCATCGTCCGCTGGTTTAAGGAGGAGCAGCTGCCTCGCGGAGCTGGCTTCGAGAGGAATACCAAGTTCATCGCCCCCTGGTTCCATGGTAGGACCATTTTTCTGGGCCCTGTGCCAGATGATTTCCACATCCTTGCCTCTCTCTGGGGTTGGGGAGGGGTGCTGAAGGACTGTTATAATCAGGGGACAGAGGACTTCATGCAATCTCCATTCTGCCCCCGATATCTCCCAGCGGGAGTCCAGGAGGCTGCAGGCCCCAGGGATGCTGAACGAGCACTCCCAATTCTTCTGGGAAGGGATGACCATGGCTCTTGCCCACTGCCGTCACCTCGCAGCCTCCGTAGCCATCAAGGGCTCCTCAGAGGCATCTTCTTTGTGGTCATAAGACAGTGAGCCCGGAGAGTTGCATGAGTTCCTGGTGTGCAGGACCCCCATCCCCGGATCCTGGCCACAGCCTGTCACACTATAGGCTCCGGATACGTGCTTGTTGATTAGATGACAGATGGCTGAATGAAGAGGTCAGCATCACCTAAACATAGACTATTAGGGCAGGGTGGCTCCCTGAAAGCCCCTCCTTGCCCACCTTGTTTCCAAAACTCTGGCCTTTTTTCTGTTCCTCAAACAAGCCATCCTCTTTCCCGTCTCAGACGCTTTGTGCTTGCTGTGGCTCAACTCACGTTTTCTGTTCTTCGGCAGCTCTTTGCATGGCTGACACATTCTCATTTTCCATCTCAAACATCCCCCTCCTCAGAAAGGCCTTTCCTGAACTTTCTTACCTACATCAGCCTTCCCCAGTGTCCCTCAGCTCACCCTGCTCATTTCCTGGAGAGAGTGTACCCAGTTGGTATTTATCAGATTTTCTTATTGTCTATCCTCCCACCTGAATGTGAGCCTGTGAGGTTAAGGACCTTGTTTGTTTTCCCGGTCCCTGGCTTAGTAAGTATCCATGGGAAGAATGGATGAAGGTGGGAAGAAAATGTCTGGGTTGGGATTAGATCCCACGCTTTCCAGTTCCAAAGAACAGCCCTTGCTTCTCTGCATTGAAAATCTAGAGCCACACATGTGAGGGTCAGGCTAGCCTTCCCAGCCGGTCTTAGGCTTGGTGAGGTCAGGGACCTTATGTCTTAGGCATCTCTGTATTCAACCCACACCCCTGCCTCTCCCCCAGGGACCAAGTACAGAAATACCTCCAAGACGAGCTCGCCACCTTCCCCTGTTGCCACTGCTGTTGAGCTCTCCAACCCAGTGAATAGCATCCATGTCACGTAGGTCAGATTGGATATGCCTCGGTCACAAATGCTTCTGAAGTCTCAGTGACCCCCACCAGTCAAGGTTTATTTCTTACCCATGTTACATGCCCTTTAGGAGTTGGTTACAGACTTTAGTCTGGGCCTCAGCCTGAAGGAGCTGCCTCTATTGAAAATGCTGATGGTCGGTCGGGTGCGGTGGCTCATGCCTGTAATCCTAGCACTTTGGGAGGCTGAGGCGGGAGGATCACTTGAGGTCAGGAGTTTGAAACCAGCCTGGGTAACGTGGTGAAACCTTATCTCTACTAAAATATAAAAAAAATTAGCTGGGCGTGGTGGCAGACCCCTGTAATCCCAGGTACTCAGGAGGCTGAGGCAGGAGAATTGCTTGAATCTGGGAGGCAGAGGTTGCAGTGAGCCGAGATTGCAACATTGCACTCCAGCCTGGGCAATAAGAGTGAGACTCCGTCTCAAAAAAAAAAAAAAAAAAAGGAAAAAAGAAAACGGTGATGATCTCACGACAGAGGGAAATGAGGGACTTGGAGAACCACACATTGGCTCCTAAAGCTTTTGTAGGGCACTGACGTGAGGTTGTCGCTCACATTCTGTTAGCCAGAGCCAAAGTGGCGTCCATGTTACAGTGGATAGTTTTGAAGGATAATCTAGTCTGTTGTGACCACCGTCCACTTTCAGACCTCTTTCTTCTCCCAGGTCACCACACATCTGGAAGAAGGTTGGACTGGCTCTTTAGGGCTCAGAGAGAAGACAGCACTCATGGCTGACTGAGCCGTGTGTCCCTGGAGCTGGTGCTGGGGATTCTCTGCCTCTCCCTTCTATCCCAGTTATGTGTCCCTGTAGCCCCGGTAGAGCTTCCATTTAAGTCACCACTGTGCTTTTTATTCAGACGTTACTATGGTCACGGAAGAGCAGCACTGGCATCTTAGGGAGCTGCGGAGTGTCACTCAGGAGTGGCACGTGGGTGAGGGTGGGCAGCTGTGCTGGGTGCTCCAACTGCCTTTGGTAGCCAGTGGAGAAGGTACGACCGAGGTGCTCAAATTTATTTTTAGCTTTGTTTTCTTCTTTGACTTTTTTTTTTTTTTAAGGTAACTTTTATGTTGTCACAGAACCAACAGAACCAAGATTTAAGTCTCATAATTTATGTAGCTAATTTCATGTTCTTCTGACAGTTCTACCATAAAGCGTGCAGAAAAGTTGCTGTAACACAGGCTGGAGCTATTTGGTGACAGAATTTTCATTGATCTGTGACAGAAGGAAAGAAAAAGGCTCACATATGGAGGGTGGCCAAGTAACTTTGCTTAGAAAGGATTGTGTCATATTCTAAGATTATATCCTTTCCTCAGTTTTAGTGTTAAAATGTCCTATCTTTTATGAATTGATGGTGATAGTAAGTCATGGTTAATTTTATATATTGCCTTTGCTTGAAAAAGCAAAAAGTTAGCAACCCAGGACCTCCCCCACCGCTGCTTTTTTTTTTTTTTTTTCCAACTTTACTCACTCGTAAAATCCCGAAGTCTGGAACAGTGAGTGTGTTCCAACTTCTCTTTCAATATAGGAATTCCCTGATGGAGGGGTTAGGAGTTCCTCTGTACCAATTCCTACAGGGGCAGGTGGCCTGCACCAGTCTAATTGTTAAGGAGTTTTTGCTGCAAGTTGGCAGGGGACCTGGCTCTCGCTGGGCTTGGTTGGGCATCTCAGCTGGGGCATCTCTGTACCATGGAACTCTTACGCTCTTCCTGGGACCAGTGGGCCAGCTCAGGCGTGCTCTTCTCATGGTGACAGGACAGACATCAGAGAGCAATTGGAAGCATGCCAGGCTCTTGAGCCCTAGTCTTAGAGCCAGCACCTTGTCGCTTTGCCTTAATACCTCACAGAACTGAGGAATGGGAAAATATATTCTGTCTTTTTCTTACAAGGAACTGCAGAGTCCTATGTCAAAGGGTGTGGCAACAGGGAGGGAAGAAGAATTTGAGCCAATAATGTGATCTGTCAGAATCCCAATACAAGTCTTTTCTTTCCTGGATAGAAGAGTCTTAGTTAATTTAGTTAGATTTCAGATGCAGGTTAAACATGACTACTCGGATGATTTCCTTCCCTTTCCTCAAACACATGTGGATTTGTGCCAGTGTTATCCAAACAGCAAGTAGACAGAGAATCTGAAGATATGGGGTCCATTCTAGAACTTAGCAGCTCTGTGTCCTTGGATGTGTCCTTTAAATTCCCCATCTGTGAAACTGGCGTTGTAACATCTACTTCACAGGACACTTAGGAAGACTGAGCCAACAGCAGTGCTTTGTCCACCATAAAAAGCCACGCCAGTGTGTTTCCTGATGTTTCCTGGGGTCTGGGGTCAACCACCAGAGGCTCTACCTCCTTTGGGAAATCAGGTTTGGGGAAATGGGCTCAGAGGGCAGAGTGAGAGGGCACCGGCAACAGGCTTTTCTCTGGGACCACAGGGTTCTAGGTAAAGTCTCCTGGGTTACAAAGAGTGATGGTAACTCCTTGTTTCTCCTTTGTTCATTGTTATGTTCCAGGAATTGTGAGAGAGATTTGTAGTTATAACTACTTGCGAGAAGTGCCAGTACATACAAGCTTGGCTTTGGGGGAAAAAAATCTATTTTCGAAATTTGACATGTATCTACAATTATTAAGAATGTTTTCTGTCAGAACATTGGCTCAGTCAGAACCCATTTCTCTTCCTGAGCTTTACTTCTACAAAAACAGTCACAATGTGGTCTATGATTTATTGTCTGGGCGACAACCTATTGGCTGCCTTGCTGCTTGCCCTTAGGAAGGCTTGGCACAGAATGGGACTACCCGGTGGGTGATGTCGTTGGCATTGGTAAATTATCTCCATGTGACCCTGCTCAGGTGCTGGGAGTAGATCTCACATGTGGCCTCACCTGGGCTTGGGTGGGCCTTTGGCTATCCTCTGTGGGGTGTTAGTGGCATGCTTCTTCACGAGCAAGCACAAAGGGGGGACCCCACCTGGGAGGAGGCACTCCCTAGCCATGTAGACAGTTCAGGGATCCCAGCAGTGATGGGCAGCTTTCCTGTGAGATGCGAGAGTTCCAAAGTAGAAGGGACACTTCTTCCCACCTGCTTCCACTGCGACCTCAGAATCTATTCAGAGAAGAATGCTGAAGGTCACAGAGCTGCTGGGGTCTAGAATGGGCCCCACATCTTCAGACTCGTCCGGATTGCTGTTCGGATGACAGCACACAAACAAAACATTGCTGTGTTTGAGGGAAGGGAAGGAAATATAAATCACAGAAGTCATTTTAATGATTACTTCGGGAATGTTTATCTTGGAAAGGAGAAGCTGTGGGGAGGAATGGGTAGAGGAACAGAACCACCCGCTCAGTCTCTGGAGCTCTGTGTTGAGAAAGGGGGATTACTGAGAAGGTCAGAACTGGGCTCTAGGTGTGTGAGGTTGTTTTTGTGTTGCTGTAAACAAATACCCGAGGCTGGGTAATGTATAAAGAAAGGTGGTTTAATGGACTCACAGTTCTGCAGGCTGCACAGGAAGTAGCACCGGCATCTGCTTGGCTTCTGGGGAGGCCTCAGGGAGCTTTTACTCATGGCAGAAGGCGAAGCTGGAGCAGGCACGTCACGTGGCAAGAGTGGGAGGAAGGTGGGTAGTGGTAGGGGCCACACACTTTTAAACAACCGCATCTCATGAGAACTCACTCACTGTGGTCAGGACTGCACCAGGCCATGAGGAATCTGCCCCCATGACCCAAACATCTCTCACCAGGCCCCACCTCCAACACTGGGGATCACGTTTCAACATGAGATTTGCGGGGGACAGGTATCCAAACCA